ATGGTGCATTTTTGTGATATGGAATTGTGCATTTTCCTATATCCTTATATATAGTTTGGATACATTATTTTTAAGAAAAAATTGTATAAATCTTATTAAAACATGATTTTTTATAGGGTCTAATTATAATAAAATTTTATTATTCAGTAACAATTCAATTTATTTATATCAAAAAATTTTTTTAATTATAAATGTTATATTTGGGGGACGAAGTCCCCCAGCAAATCGCATATTCTAGTTATTACCTATAAAGTATGACCCAAATATATAAAATCTCAAAATTTTAAGAGTAAAAATGCTGGATATAATTTTAAACATTATACGACTATCAAAAATATGAAAAAAAAATTGCAACTAAAAATAAATTATCAAATTGATGCTGATCATGTAACACAAAATAATTCCATATCGTGGCATATCGTACTTTAACATTTTAAAGCATCAATGTGAAAATTTTGATATTTCGAAATGAAAATTTTATTAATAATTTATAATTTAACATTTTTATATTAAATAATAAAATTTTATATAATCGGTCCCGGTCCGGACCGGTCCTCAAATCTCAGACCGAAGACCGTGAAGACTGGTCCCAAGACCGATACAGGACCGGTCTTTGCTGGGACCGATCCAACCCTATTTAAAATGGATTTAATTTATAATATCTGGTGATCAAAACAATAATTAGACTTTAGGGGCTTGGCGGCTTGCATATTCCAATTTGAAAATAAAAACCAGTTAATGATAGGCTGATGATAACAACTTGCATATGATCTAGTTTATATTATGTGGTTAAGTCAATAACTTTAGAAGCTTTGGCGGATTGCTGTTTTCTTTTTGTAAAAACCAGTCAACGGTAAGGCCGTTACCCGTTAAGATGTTGATTGGTTTAGTATATAATATCTGGTGACCAAAACAATAATTAGACTTTAGGGGTTGGCATTCAAATTTGGAAATAAAAGCCAGTTAATGATAAGGGTGATTATAACAACTTGCATATGATCTAGTTTATAATGTGTGGTTAAGTCAATAACTTTAGAGGCTTTGGCGGCTTGCTGTTTTCTCTTTGTAAAAAGCCGGACAACGGTAAGGCTGTTAAGATTCTGATTCTAATTAATATTCTGTTTGATTTAGTTTATAATATCTGGTGATCAAAACAATAATTTATCTTATTAGGGCTTTAGGGGCTTGGAAATATGTTTTTTCATGTGAACACGTTCAATGTTTGAATTTTGAAACGTTCAAAATTTCAATATATTAAAGTTTGAGGATGATCTATTCGAGCGATTGTAGTATAAAAATAATGGTTATCCTTAATCAAATGAGTCATATGAAAATTTATTTAAAAACTTTATCGATGTGTCATATATGGTTTGGTTTGCAATGCCCGACTGATTTATCAATTGGAATATTCCCGCCAGTTTAGGATTATACTTTCATAATATTTGTTACATCAAATGTGAAATTTTTCACACAAATAAGCCTTTTTCACGGATAAAATTTGTACAGCGTTTGTACCCGATCCAAATATTACAGTATTGATTGTTTCTAATTTTGGCAATTGCATATATTTGTAGTACGAAAGTATATGTTCAAATATTTTATTTGAAGGTGCAATATACACTATTTATCGAAAGGTATAATGTAAGTATTCTTGCAATTTGTTATATATATTTTCGGTACGAAAAAAAAAACAAAAAAAAAAAACAAAATTAAAGGTTAAAAATATTTTAAAAATTATTACAAAAAATGATTTTCTCAATTTATGGCAAATGTATTGATCAAAATTCTGATTATGGATACAAATCGGGGACATTGNCAATTTGTTATATATATTTTCGGTACGAAAAAAAAAACAAAAAAAAAAAAGAGAATTAAAGGTTAAAAATATTTTAAAAATTATTACAAAAAATGATTTTCTCATTTTATGGCAAATGGATTGATAAAAATTCTGATTATGGATACAAATCGGGGACATTGACCTTGTAAAAGGAGTAAGATAGGGATAAAAAATAACCCTTTTTTTTTGTGTCATTATCAGATATTTGACGAATTCATGTACAGCCATATGAAAAAAAATGTATCTATCGTATGATTAATTTTACAAATTTTTATGTTGTGAAATGCGGTAGTTGTTTTTTATAAACGTTCCGATACCGGGAAATTTTGCCACATTTAACAAGAAATAAAGCCACAGTTACAAAATTGTAATGTTTCTTTCAAGCGTAGATTTAATAAATTTTATATTTTTAAAAAGACATGAAAAAAAAAACGGTGGCTTAGTTGTGCCCCTGATGTTGGTACAACGCGGTTACTAAAAAAAATCATAACCGATCAGCGGCTCATAGCCACGTTATTCTTTTTTTTAAAAAAAAACGTACTGTCAAATCCAATGGGCTGAAAAAAAATGTTTTTTTTGGGGGTTGTAATTTATTTTAACGAAAAAAAAAAATTCATAGAATATTTTAATTAATGTAAGAAGTTTCTGTCATTTTTTAATAAAAAAAAAAAATTTTTTCTCATTTAATATTTATTTCAGCCACATCATCTGCGTATCACAAACAAGTGTTTTTTTTGTTGATCGTTTACCTGTTTATGGGATCATGAAATATTTTTTGTTCAAATATAAAAGGAACCTGAGATCAGGGTATTTGTAAATTGTAATTCTATAAAAAAAATTCTTTCTTTTAATTAACTAGAAAGGGAGATTTAAAGAATACCAACGAATTATTTGTCCATTTTTACCCTTTTTTTGAACAAACTACAAAAATTGGGTTCTTTTTTTTTATTAATAACCTATCAAAAATTAAAAATTAATTTTAAAAATTTATGAGCCTATGAATATCAATCAGGCTCGAAAACCAAGATGGCTGAAATGCAACAAATGTAACGATAGAAGATATCAGAAAATTTTTCGTGAATTATATCTTTTCTGACAAAATTGATATGATCGCGAGAACTCATTACGTATTGCACAAATATATTCTAATGCCGTGGATTTTCTTAAAACGGCCCAGATTTTATGGAAGAAAAATCATGAATCTCTAAAAGTTCTAATTCAAATTTATAAAATTTCGATCAAAGATTATATGGATTTTTGGATTACGCACGAAGATTAATGATTCAATTTGGAATTAAGACCGAAATTGAAGTAACTAGTTGGGGACGCATTGTGAATATTATTACAAAAGTTTATAAAAAGAAACTTCGCGATGTAACAAAATCTGTGATGGAAGCAGTAATTCCAATTAAAAGACATTATAGAAAATTATTCAAACAAGAATTTTTATTGAGGCCCATAGTAGAGTCCATGGAAACTAATGGATTTATTAGGACCTTGTGACTAGTTCAAACGGTAATTATAATCTTGATCAAGATTTAATTGATTTATGGTGTATAATTGGGGGTATTATTTATTTCAGCTAGGATCATAGTTATTTTGGGAATTTTTTTTTATTTTTTTTATTTTTTTATTTCTTAAATATCTTTTTTTTAAATATTTCTCCATTAAAAATATTTTAAATAGATTCTTAAAAAGTTTTTTAAATAAATTTTATAAATTTTTTAAATAAATTTCTTAAATATTTTTTTTATTTTTTAAATTATAATTATGATCAAGATTTAATTGATTTATGGTGACCTTATGACCGATACGAACTTATAATAGCTAGTTATTTTGCAATTTTTTTTTTCAAAAAAAAAGAAAAAAAATAAGAAATAAAAGAAGGGAATTTTTTATTTTTTAAATATTTATATCTTATCAAAATTATAAAGTTCGCGACCATAATTAAACTCTGTTCAATAATGCCAGCCTCTAACGTAGTCCAACGTAGGTTAGATGATAATAACTATACGTAAGGGTTTTTGACAACACTAACACTAAATCTCCTACTAATTATATTCATATGATTTTCCAAATTGGTAAAAATCTCAGGTCATAAAATTCAAAGCATAACATGATGCAACATATAATATGGAAAAAAATTTTTTTACAAATTTTTCAAAAATTTTAAATAAATACTAACCGGTGTAAGTCCGGAGCGAAAAGCGATTTCACTGGTGATGATCACGTGGCGGACAGAGAAATTCACGTGATCATTTTTTTTCCATAGCTGATAGTGCGTAATTGTCCACTTTCAATTTATGATCGGAATTTATATTGCCTTTGTTCGTTCACTGCTATGGTGACTAGTTCTCCATTAGTCAGTCCATTCCAACGAAGGGTGGGTCTGCTTGTTAGATTTTGTGCATTTAGTTTAGATCAATATTCTTTATGTCTAGTTTCTATGCATAATGTTTTCGTATCTTTCTGACTTTCTTAAGTAAAAATAAAATAAATAAAAAAATTTATGATCGGAATGTCGATCATAGACCCGGGTATTTTAGTCAATAAATAAATAATAATCTATTTCAATTTTCAAAAATAATATTACTTCCTGAAATTCATTTCGGTATTTCATCATACATTTATGTCGAACGTTTATCCCTAACCCGTATGATGACAGTTCACGGCGCTACTCAATGTTGATATTTAAATTACCATTAATTACTTTACTATTATTATCTGGTAATTAACATTACTATACTAAATTTTGGATCACCTCCGCGGCTCCGCCATAATAAAAGCTTTTCACAATTTTTTCCCAATCTTGTTCACAAATTTTACGTCTAACTGTTTCAAACGCATAAACCAAAGAACCATCTTTCTCCTAATCGTATCAAACTTGCTTAAAATGGCTTCTAATTTCTTCAAGAGATATGTGATCGGTTTGAAGTTTCAGATTGGCTAGCCACGCTCAGCTGATCAGTTTCAATTTTTCATCAATGGAAGCATTAATTGTGCTGCCAAAGTTATTACAGCAGAATGGCCTAAATTTTAATATTTTTTTTTTTTTTATGTGATATCTGGGATTTATTAATATTATTTCATAATATAATAAAATTTAATACAAATATTTAATGTATACAATGTCGGAAAGTAACGTCCGATTTGAAATTGAAGTCAAACACAAATATTTATATTTTTTTTTTCATTAGTCTACACATTAATAAAAAAATCTATATTTAATTTTCTTTTTAATACTGCATCAAATTTTCATAACGCCAGAGCAGTAGCTTTCTTTCTATATATTATTAATGTTTTTCTCTTGTTTTGAGAAGTAAAAAAACGAAAAATGGAAATAAATGACTCAATTAGACGTCACTTTTAACGTGACTGAATACGTATAATTCCGTATCATAGGAATTTTCAAAAATAAAAACATATAACATGGATAACCTCAACAATAATATTAGTTATAAACTAACTGAATCACAGGAAGCTTAGATATTAATTTTAAATAAAAAATTATTATTTAATTAATTTCCTATTATTTTATGATTTAATTTAGATTATTTCTATTCTGTAAGAATGGTTACAGTTTCTTTTTATTAGTGATTAGTCTGTGAAGAGTTTTAGTTGTTTCAAAAATTGTAAATTTAAAAAAAAATGAAATTATTTTCTTCGACACGAATAGTCACGTGATCGGCATTTCGTAATTTATTGGCTGATCGACGTCGATCATCACGTGAAATTAAACCAATAAACAGATTTTTATCTATGCTACTTTAAGTATAAGCAGGATAACATTCTCTTTTAGAATATGTTGTTTACAATATGTATACTGGAAATTTTAGGGCTTCCTTTAACTCTACAAAAACAAACAATTTATAGTTATTGATATTCTGATTTATTTTAAACATGATGATTATATGGTTGGGCTAAATGGCCGATCTGTATATCGGAAAAAATATGGCCCGAAATAAATAACTTATATATTCTGCTTTTGGTTAAATAATCCTTTTTAGTAACTCAATGACGCATTAAATAAAAAAAATTGTCAAAAAATTTCGTCTAAAAAAATTTCACCTAAAGAAAATAAAATTTTCCAACTAAATGGATAAAGATACTGATATAGTAAACACCAAAAATTGTTTCTATTGCAATAAACCTTTTACTGAAGAATTACAGTGTGAAGAATGTATTAATTCTTTAGAAAAATTAGCAGAAAATGGTAATAGAATGGCAATGTTGAATTTAGCCAATAGCTATAAAAGTGGAGTAGGAACAGAGAAGAATTTAGAAAAAGCCTTTTATTGGTATCAAAAAGCAGCAGAA